CTGCTGCTGCTGCTGCTGCTGCTGCTGCTGCTGCTGCTGCTGCTGCTACACTGAGACAAGAAGTTGGAGATCTCCTGAAATAAGGATTGCACTGGCTCCAAGGGACCCACTGACTCTAAACAGCAGGAAACAGCCAAGAGAACTGTGCCTCCTCTCCTACTAACCCTTTCTCTCTCCTACCTGGTGTTGGGTGTTGGGAGGGGGTGGAGTAAGGAGAAAGAGATATAAGAAATTTAAATAGAAGTTTTTTGGTTTTTTTTTTTTTTTTTTTTTTAAGTACACCAACAATTATTCTTGATGATGCTGTCCTACAACAATGTCATACAATAGCCTTAAAAGTTTGGGACAAGGTTGAACAGGGATGAGCTGAATTATTACAGGGTTCAAACGAATCTTTCACTGACTTTCTTAAAAGATTAACTACAGCTCCGAAAAGAGCAATATAAGATCTAGTTGCAAGAGAGATTTTAATTGAATCTTTAGCCTTTGAAAATGTTAATGCTGAATGCAAAAAGGCGATTAAGGCTGTTAAGGGCCCAGATCCACACCTCTTTATGAATGGATTAAAACTACTATGAATATAGTATCTAATGCTCACAATTCAGCTGTAGTTGGGCAAACAATTACAGAAAACATAAAAACACAAAATGCCTATTTCTGTGGCTGTGAATAGGTCATTCTCAAAAGGACTGTAGACAAACAGTTCCTAAGGATAAATTCTTCAATAATAACAATAATTCAGGAAGAAAGTTTCCTGTGAAATGTAGAAGACATAGAAGGAACAGACACAGGGCTCATGAATGTAGGTCATCCAAAGATATTCGAGGCAATTCCTTAATGTCAGAAAACTGACTAAGGGGCTTCACTCAAGGCCTAGCAAAAGCAACATGAGCCATCTATTTTCTGTCTACCAGGAAAAGATTATTCTGAAAAACAACTAGAAAAATTAAGACCTATTTAGACAGCTGCTCAAAATGTAAATAAATCATTTAACAGAGATATAGCAGCTCCTATGGATAGAACAAAAGACTCTAAAGATTCCAAGATATTTTGGCAAACTACTATAAATGATAATCGACCAAAGTTAAGATTATAGCTAGATGGAAGGATTAGTGGATACAGGAGCAGATGTAATTATAATATCACAAGATTTCTGGAATGCAGCTTGCCCACTTCAAAGGGTATCCACACAGTTCCTAGGAAATGGGACATTGTTTTAGGTAAAACAAAGTCTAAAATGGATTAAATGCATAGGACCAGAGGGTCAAATAGAAAAATTAAGGCCATGTATGGCTAATATAGCCATAAATCTACAAGGAAGAGATCTATTGTAACGGTGGAAAGAATAGATTAGCATTCCTCCAACTTTAGAGACAGGCTGTAAAAAAGATATTCCTAATAAGGAAATTTAAAAATGTCATTGAAGACAGTTACAGTCTGTCCAGGCTGTCCATAAGCAGGATACAGCATAAGCTTACTCTTTAACTTTATTTGGGGGAGCCACTGTTGATTAAACACCAACAGCCTTACCACTAAGGTGGTTGACTGACCAACCAGTTTGAATTGAACAATGGCCTATGACAAAGGAAGAATTACAGGCACTAGAACAGTTGGTCCAAGAGCAGCTCAAGTACAGAAGAGTCCATCAGCCCTTGGGATTCTCTGTATTTGCCATTAAAAAGAAATCTGGCAA